CTTCCGGGGTTTCCCCGCGCCGACCGGAACTGGGCCCGGCGTCTCGGGCGCGCCCCGCGCGGCCCCGCCTCTCCTATGGCCAGAGGGGTCAGCTCCGAGTGCGTGAGGGCCAGAGGACCCCGGACTGGGCGCTGCTGCCCCCGGAGCGAGTACAGAGGCGCCTGCTGCCCGGTTTTCACAATCTATTTCTCGGCTGAAAATGTCACTGGACTTTGTCAGCTTCGTTTTTTCCTACCTAAACACACTGGCGAATCATGTTAGAGGAGACTGGTCAGTGGGCAAAGGGGCCCCACCCCCCCCTTAGGGCTGCCCTTGGCCTTGGCGCTGGTGGGTGAGTGGGCTAGTGCCCTGCCCCCGGCGGAGAGCGACGCTCCTCCACGACCATTTAAAGTCAGAGGCCTCAAGCTCAAGACAAGCCCCGACTCCCGACGGGCTCCCCTGTTCGCAGCTTCCCGACAACCAAAAAGTCTAGCGCCGACTCCCTCGAAGAGGGGGACTTCCGTGACCAAGTGCAGCACAAGAAAGCAAAGACTAAGTAAGGCCTTGAATAGCTTTATTGAAATCTGTATAAATAAACATGCACATTTCAAATGTAAACTCAAGTGAACTCAAGTGCAGACAAAATTTTAACCTCTGTCATGCAGGAGGTTAGTTTACATTAAAAAAAGAGAGAGAGAGAGAGAAGAAAAAAGAAAAAACCCAAGCAGCTTTTAAAATACCAGGATGGAAACCAGCTTTACTACCAAGGTATAAAGCCATGACGACATACCTATTTATCCCGGTCCAGTGCGTTTTTTCCTTTTTCCTTTTAAATGCTAAGAACATAAATAAATAATTTACCAAAATGTGCACTCACAGAGTGAACTTTTATTTACAATACACAATTTATAATCTACTGTATTCGATGAGTTCAAGTGAAGAACATCATACTCTGCTTGGGTGACAGTGGGACACAGCGGTCTCTCGGGCAGGCGTGTGCAGAGGCGCCCGGCAGCGGGACCCTGCCCAGCCGCAGGACCGGACGCCGGCGGGCGGCACATTCTCCCAACCAGATCAAGGGAAAAAGCAGCAAAAGAAAAAGGTTTCAAACGTTCACACGTATTTTTGGCTTTCTGGATCCTGAAAGTGGAGCCCTAACATCAGATTCGCGGCTTCTACGCCTGCTGTGCCGCGCGGCTCGACGCCGGGAGCACGCCAAGGCGCTTCCTTGCGAGTCCCCTTCGGAGAAAGCGGTAAGGCTACGGTGAATCCACCAGGAACACACAAGGGCAGTGACAGACCTACCTTGAAGCCAACTGTCCACCAGTGATTTAAAGGCCAGTACATGAAAAAAAATCCCCTAAGCTTGATGCAATGACTACTATGGATACAGAACACTACCGAGTCTGCCCTCTGTCACACCACTGGGAGCGCTAAAAGTTGCCCAATTACCAAAAAATGGGGTAGAGGAGAACAGACAGCCAAATTCAAAATTTGGACCACCAGACTCAAAGATACGCATTTTAAAGCAAGTTAACAAGAATCTGAGTGTCCAAGACAGAGATTCCCATGGCAGGAAAGAGCTTACATTTAACTGGGGGGGGGGGGGGGGAAGAGGCGCAGCGTGAAGGGGAGAACCTGCTTCCACAGCAGCAGGTGGGGGCACGGCCTGGATGTCCAGCACCGCAAGGGGACGGCCTGTCTCCAGCCCGGTTCTCGCGCCACGGTCCAGTTTCTGGGAGAGGCCCGCGGATCTCGCTGGGGACGCCGCCGTGGCGCCCGGGCGCTCCAGAAACGCCGCCGGCCGCAGTTTTCTTGCGGTGTCAGAGCACATAAATGACCAACATCCACAAAGGTACATGTCATCAGCCAGCTCACATCCAAGAAATCAAAGAAAACATAATTGATCAAAACAGCAGCAAACTTAAAAGGGATTTATTTGTGATTTCCTATATATATTTAGCTTGTAAATACAAGACTGTAAATGTATTAAGAGACAATTTCTGTTAAAGTTTTCATTGTGTTTCACTTCAAGTACTGCACAAGTTAGACTCTGGGGAGGACGCACATCCGGCCGGCCACTCCCCAGCGCGGCTCCTGTGGCGCGGGCGCGGGCATCGCGTGGGCGCCGCGGCGGGCAGTCCCTCGCGGCGCGGCCGTCAGTTAGTGTGCATGCAGTTCTCGTTTTCGAGGTCATTGTCATTGTCATTGCTCTCTTCGTCGCTTTCCAGCGGGGTGCCGCTGGCGGCCGAAGCACCTCTCGCCTCCCGGTCCAGAGGGAAGAAGCCAGTGCCGCTGAAGGTGTCCTGCCTCTGGTAGAACAGCACGTAGGCGGCCTTGGACTGTTGGCCAGAAGAGCGGTCAGAGCGGGCGCGGCAGCGGCGGCCACACTAAGCAGACTACGAGCGCGCGCCCGGGAGCCAGCACGGCACCAGGGACGCGCCGACCGGACTCCCCCTGAGGGGCCGGCGGAGGCACTGGACTGCCTCAGTGCCAGCGGGGAAGAGTGGCCCGCGGAAGGGCAGCTGTACCCTAAGTGACTTGGACAGAAAGCTCCAGGCAGCCACCCCAGAGCAGCCGCAGCTGCGGCACGAGACAGGGTCCGGGGCCTGCGGCCCTCCCGCCGGGGAAGCCCAGTTCCTGGCCTAACGGCTTCCTTGTAAGCTGCCCTAGCGCTGACCTCCTCCTGCTTCCCGAGAGCCGGTGTCTCACCGTGGCCACTGCGCATCTTGAGAGGCCTCAGCACTGGGCCTGGGCATACGGGCAGCGGTCCCCACCCTGACTCTGCAGCCTGCCTCGGTGCCACCTGCCGCGCCTTCTCTTAAGCCGGCAGGCAGAGCGTGCCAGTCGTCACTCGCATGCACACTCCTCACTGGCTCGGGTCTAACTCCACTCACGTTCATCAAGTGGCCTTCCCGGGGGCCAGTCACTACAAATATAAACCAGTGGAACGGACATGCCACTTAAGGGTGCTTTTTCAGCACAGTCAGTCAATCTCGCTTTGCTGCGTTCGTTTTCTCTCCTGCGCACAATGCCGACATCACTCTGCCCAGCCCCGGCTCAGTCACTGCTCCTAGACTCCCGCGGCTCCGCCCGGCCCCTGCTGCGGGCAGGCGGCTCGCACTGCCCCAGGCCAGCTCCCGCCCGGCCCTAGCCCTAGCAGCCACCTACTTAACAGGCATCTCCACAAAACAGCGCACACGCGCTCCGACGTCCCTGCATTTACCGTCTTGGTGGAGGAGGGTGCAAGCGTCACCGTCCTCTCCGCGCCCGCATCTCTCTGCTCATCTGCAGCTGATCTTAGCCAAACTTTACGAACGCTGCCGGTGAGCAGCTCATAAATGCACCCCCGGCCCCGCTCCTCACCACCGCTTCCAGTGTGGACACGCCTACTGTCCAGGTAGCGCGACCGCCTTTCTTCTGGAGACTGCTAGCGTTCTTTTTCTCTCTGCCTCTCAGTCGACCTTCACCAGTGTCCTCAGCGAGATGCGCACGCGCCAAGGTGCGTGCACCTGCTCGACAACGGTCAAGCTTCCCACAGGCTTTGAGCACGGAGACGTCACCTCTCGCGATGTCAGTGCTGCCCTGAGCGCCAACTTCAGCTCTGCCTCACGGCCCTGAGTCTTCCCAGCACCACCACACCACCTGCTGTCGCCAACACTGGCTCTGCGTGGCACACCTGAACTCCCTGTTTAATTTACTCTACCTGCATTTGCAGATCCGGGCGAAATACCCCTTCACAGTGTAAACTGGCCTGCACTGGCCGGCCGGCTCCCTCAAGCCCCACATCAGTTGAGACCACTATTCCCCGCTCTATGCAGCAAAGAGACTTAACAGTGCAGGTGTCAGATGGAATCAGTCTACCAGTCTGTTCCCTTGAGGGGCGTAAGTCAGAACAGCTACCCTGTGGCCTTCTCTGGAACAGAGCCCTGTGTAAAGAAGGACCTCAAGCATTTGCTGACTGAGTGAGAAATGCTGTTGTCAAGGCAAGGCACAGCATGTCCAGCATTTACAAGCTACACTGCTTAGCTGAAGGCCAGAGTGGGGAGTGTTAGCAAAGACTCTGAAGGAAGATGTGGGCAATTTCTGGATGTGCAGGGTGGGAGGTTAAACAGGAGAACAGAACCAAAATTTGAGGGATATGACCTGAAATTAGAAGTCTAAACATAAACTGGAAATGCAGTTAAGTTTATGCATGTTCACATATGTAAAACCAGTACAGAGCTCAAGTTTCTCTTTGTGTTATAGGGAGAGAAGCATTTAGAACACAGTTGCTGTGTACACATACATGTACATTGTATGTTATATGTGAGCATGCAGGCACATGTACACGGATAGAACTAACATCTCTAGAGAAGCAACTGGAAATATTCTCCTATTTGTTCATGCAATGGTAAAATTATGCCAATAATTAGGCCAAGATTTATTAATTTATTACACTGAACAGTGTTGGTTGAAGACATTGAAAGCACCACAGAATAAAAAGCCAGCTCGTCTCAAGGGGCAGCCGACTAAGCTGGGGGCGAGCAGAGCACGCGCCCGTCAGCAGGGCCTCTGTGCCGGCCGGGTCACTGAGTGGCATTCAGAGGAGTAAGCCCCTCGCGAGTCGGGGCTCTTTCCTTTCCGACCCGTCCGGCCACTCCCCACCAACCGGCGTCTGGAGGCAACTGTCTGCCCCACAGTCAGGGAGGTGGGTGCAGCTGAGGGGGAGCCGGTACCGGTGGGAGCAGAGTTAGCTTCCCAATACTCTCAGAAACACCAAGCTAACAATACAGAGGAGTAAATAAAACACCTCTAGCGTTCTCCCTATTGTGCTGAGTTGAAATATTTACTTGTCTTAATGGATGAGGATTTACTACAAAGATCATAGGTATCATAGAGTCTCAAGAGGATTTAATTTTCGTTTCCACCTCAGCATTCTGACTTTGAGTAGTCAGTGTCTAGAAGTGTCTGGATCTATTTTCTGAAAGAAAAACTCCATACTGAAAACTACCAGGAAATGTTCATATTGCAATTTATGGTTCTGTTAGTGGGGAATTTGGCAGACACATGTCCAGTTAGGGGCAATCTTACATTTCTTTAAATCAAAGCAAGTATCTCTGAGCTGTCAGAACTGCTTAAATATAAACTATCACATCGCACGGGCACCTTTCAAGCTAAAGGTTTCCTTGATTTTCAGGAAATAAGAGAAACACTTACCACAATTTGATCTTCAGATGCAGGTGACACACTGCTGTCGTCAAAGTAGTACCATTTTCCGTCATCTTTATTTTTTGCAAAAGCAGTATCTAATGAAGAAAACATTCGCCTTTATGACTGAAACAATCCGTGGCTCCAGGGAGGGGCCACAACATCTATCAATTATTGACGCGAGGGATCTCTATTAAAATTCCAGTCACCTACATGTTGCATAGTCAACCGACTAAAAAAGGGTTTTAGGTAATTTCCACAATCTAGATGCCTAGATTTGCATGTAAGTTGAAATTTGTGGTTTTTTTCACTAGAGAGAAACAGTCATTTCTCAATTCACAGAGTAAAAATGCCCACACTAAAAGGTAACTGCACTTCGGTAGGTTCTTCTGTGCCAGGGACAGTCTGGACACTGAGCCAGAGGCGTCTCATCACGCCGACCCAGACGGGCGGCGCCGACCCAGACGGGCGGGCTCGAGGGCCGCGGCCTGACACGCCGCAGCTCGGGCCAGACTGCAGCCCAGGCCTGCCCTTGCCTCAGAAGTTCAAAATTTCAAGTAAGCAGGATTTACATATTCTCTGACAGGTTTTTCTCAAAAATACCATCTCGGCCATTTTAGTGGTTCTATGCTTGAAATCTTCACAGCCTTCAGAAAGTCAGAGCAAGAACGGAAGATCCTCTTTACCTGTAAGTTAGAACACTGGCCGGCCCCTTCCATCGGGTAAACACCACAGCAGTTTGTGGCAATAACACAACAGTTGAGAAACAAAGTTGCACAATGTCCCACAAACAATTACACTCTCTCAAAGCTTCTAAACCTGAAACTACTCCACAGACTCTGTCTTCCAACTAGTTCTCTCCCAGGAAACAGAATCAGGGTTCTTTGGGTGAAGCCTGCTGTTGCTGGTAATTTGTGGATCTGAACTCAAGACCACTGCACACACATTAAAATACATTTCCCAACTCAATAAAGATAAAAGATCTCACAACAATATGGTCTGTGAGACAAATTACACAGAATTTGCAAGTGAAGTTAGACTAACGTGTGTAATTCCAAGAAAAAGACAAGAGGGGAAAAAAGAACGTGAGCTAGGAACACGAACACTAGAGAAAGTATGTTTGAACTGAAACGACTAATCCAAGCCAGTCGGTGAAGCCAGGCCGGCACTTTCGCACGAGTCCCGACAGCTGCTCAGCAACAATGAACACTAAGAGTAACCGGCGACAGAAATGAGGAGGCCACAATGCGTGAGCGGCCACGCACGAGGCGCGCACGTGCATGTCTGACGCACGCAGACTCCTGACACAGCTCACGCGGTGACCCGGGCGCCCGAGAGCCTGAGCGTGCACCACAGGCGCGGCCCCAGACGTCACGGCGGGCTTCCAGAACGACAGCAGAGCTACTCTGGCAAACACAGTCAGGAAAACGCGGCTAAACACCGTGGGTCAGGCCATCAGAAAGGAAATCCGACAGTGGAAAGGCAATGGCAACGCGACGTCGAAACCTCAGGGGGCAGAGTGAGGAACATTTCTAGCTTTCACTTAGTTGAACAACAAAACAAGTAGTAAGTCCTCAGCCTCGGAGACTGGAGGAAAGGCAACACAGCAGACCCAATGTAGCAAAGACAACTGGACAGGGACACGAGGCGGCCAGTGACAGGAGACTGCGTGAGCTGGCAGGCTACCTCGCCGGACAGAGGAGTCAAGGGGCTAAGGCCAACCTGTTAGAAAGACCGTAAAAGACTGAAAAGGGAGGAAAACGCAGCCCACAAGCACTACGAACCATTTCAACAGTGACAAACACAGGTTAGGAAACCAGGAAATGTCGACACGCCCCTCTCCCTGGAGCGTGGCGCAGGCAGAAAGGCCCCGGCGCAGCCGCGAGCTCCCCGGAGGCGAGTGCAGGGCGCCGGCCCCACGCAGACGCCCGCAGGCCGGGCGCCTGGCCGCGCCTCCACTCCGCCCCGGCAGTCCCACCTCTGGGAGTCGCTCACCAAGGTCCCGCCCAGGGGGCCGAAACCGAGTCTCCCCAGTCTCGGGCGGTGGGAAGATAAAGGTAACCTGGGGCGCCCCAACGAGCAGCCCGAAACACTCCAGGCAGACGAGACCGAGCCCAGAAGCAAAGGCCACACGGACACAAGTTCACGGTCGCAGTGCCGAGCGCGCCCCGTCAGCGACTACGCCCAGAGCATCGGCCGCGCACGTCAGGCAGGGAGGGCAAGCGGGAAGGACGGGCCACCCCAGGTGAGGCCCTGGGGCCTGGGGGCAGCGGGCAGCTGGCGCGTCTTCGGCCCCTGCGGAGCGCCAGCAGCGCAGCGACGCGCGCGCGGCCACGGCCGCCGTGTCGGCCCGAAGGAGAAGGCGCCCGCGAGCACCACGGCCCGGGAGGCAGAGGCCACTTACAGTGTCCGCCGCCCATGCCGCCGTAGTGGTTGGAGACCGCGATCAAGTCGTAGCGGCAGGGGCCCGCGTTGGGGTTGATGAGGAATCCCGACATGTCCAGGCCGCTGTTTAGGGAGGGTCAGGTCGGTTACATGCTTCCAATGCAATGGTTGCTTGTCTATGCAGGTAAATACAGTCTGAGCAAACTACTCGCCAAACCAGCCACCGTGCACCCCGGGACCTGACAAGCCTCTGAGGAGACCCACCAGCCCTCCCCCGCAGCCAGGAGCCCACGCTGAACCCCGGCCGCGGCGGTGCCGGCGCCCAGGCAACGCCACCGCCACTTACTTGACGGGGAAGTCGACCAGCGTGTCCAGCTTGTCTCTCATGTACCGACTGTAGGAAAACCGCTTGAGGTGCACCACGAGCACGGGCGGCAGCGACCACAGGTCCAGCTTCTTCGTGGCCTGCTGGTGCTCTTTGCAGTTTGGGCAGTACCTGCAAGTGAAGACACAGCCCGGGAGCTGGCCAGAGCGGGGAGGCCGCACCAGAGGCCGCGGGCGGCCCGCGCGAGCCGCCCGCGGCCTGACGTCTCCCACCTCCCTGCTCAGATTAGTCTGAAACTAAGCGCGGGGAGAGTGGCGAGGCACGAGGATTCGGTGTGCTAAAGACACGCGTGAGCCCTCAGGCTGCTGATACGGGCTCGGGAACCTCCCGTGCCTGGGCCATCGTAAAATGAGCAGCAGCGCAAAACGTGTCGCCCTTGGCCAGACAAGCTTCCCACAGAATGGCCACGCAGCTACAGACTCCCGGGGTGGCGGCGACTAAATGCCCTAGCAAAACGGATTTTACAAAAAGTACAGCCATGAGGTTAAAGTCTAACATTAAAGTAACATGTGACTGTCCGACAGTTAGTAGGCTGTCATGTAAACAAATGCTTATCTAACATGTCACACTATCTCAGAAAAATCCTTAAAAAAAAATAAACATTTAATTTTGTCTCTTACCAAGGATCTTCAGCACCTAGCTTTTCTTTTGTTGTAAAAAGCTCAATGCAATCTTTTAATTTCACAAAGGGTTTTTTTGGAGGTTTATATTCCACACTCTCATGTTTTTCAAAATCCTAAAGAGAAGTATTTCTTGAGTTAAGAGAACAAACGAAACAAAACTCATTCTAGCGATACCCTCTTACTACATGAACAGGAACAAAAAACCCCTAAACTTTCTCAGAACAATCATAAATCTCATTTCAGCTGAGATTCACACTGCACCTCGAAATGACCTGGACTTACATACACTTACAACGATGACTAAACACTGCACACAGGAGGTGTGCTCCAAACAGCCAGTATTTCCCGCGCAGTCCCTGCACGACTCTCCCCTGGGAGGACGACCAAGCCCCCGGGGAGGGCACAGCTCTGGCCCTCAGGGCGAACACCGGCAAAGCCGGGGCGAGGCGGCGATGACGTACCTCAGCAGCGTTCTCATCAAAGTATCTTTTCTTCAAATCAGGATCCCAATCCAAGGCAAGAAAAGATCTTTCTAAATGGAAAACAGATTTTTTCTTTAAAATTTCAGTGTACCTCATGTTAAAGTTAACACATTTAAGGTTAAGGTATATACCAAAGTAAATTCTCTACTTGCATTATAGGGAAAACTGCTATTTCCACAGTAAGTATCGTTTTTTTTTTTTTTTAAAGATTTATTTATTTATTTATACAGAACTGGGGTATAGGCCAGAGATGCGGAGGGTGAGAGGATTCACCAGAGACAGAGTGGGGAGCAGAACAGACAGATCGAGGAAGTACACTGCTGAGGGGAGCAGCGGGCGGGTCAGGAGAGGTCTGCCACGCCATGTGGTCACCTCCAGGGCAGTCGGGAATCGAACTCATGCGGAAGTGGGTTTAGATTCTCAGTGCTGTGCTTTTAACCCGCTGCGCCACCAGGGAGGGCCGTAAGTATCGTTTTTAAAGATGTATTTACTTGTGCACACAGAGCTGCGGCGCAGGCCAGGCAGGGGCGGTGAGAGGCACCACCAGAGACAGAGTGGGGAGCAGGACAGGCCGACGGAAGAAGGCCGAGGGGAGCAGCAGGCGGGCCAGGAGAGGTCGGCCGCGCCATGTGGTCATCTCGGGGGCAGGCGGGATCGAACTCATGCGGAAGCGGCTTTAGCTTCTCAGTGCTGTGCTGTAACCCGCTGCGCCACCAGGGAGGGCCCCCAACATAAATATTTTACCAACTAAAAAAAGACACAGGCTTCCCTGGCGATGCGACAGGTCACAGCGCAACACTAGGAAGCTGCCGCAGCCGCGTCAGCAGGAGGTCGATCCCGGCCGGGGAGGGACCAGAGTGCAGCAGCCCCCTCCTGCCTCCCCGCCGCCCCCTCAGCAGTGGGTATCAGTAGATTCACCTGCTCTGCTCCCCACTCTGTCTCTGGGGAGTCCTCTCACCCCCACCCCCAGACGCACACCTCTGGTCTGCACCCCAGTTCTTGTGTGTGTAAATACATCTTTCAAGGCAAAAAAAAGGATACAAACCCTAAGCTGAAATTCAACCTCACGTAATGAACATATTTTGGTACACACAGAAATTAAAGCTTTTTATTCAAAATTTTAGAGAAGGAAATGTTACTTTTCATGACAATGCTCAGTGTCACCTAGAAAGTAGCCAGCTTTCACTTTCCAGCCTCGTGGCACTCACTCACCGTCCAGCCTGAGCTGCCTGTCGTCGAATCGGATGTGCCTGGCGTCATCTTTGATGCAGCCGATGTCCGTGCTGCCTAAGTTGTTGAGCTGGAATGTGAACAGCCGCTTCCTGTGGCCCGTGGGCTGGCCCCTGCAGCTCTCCTCCGTGCACAACCCGTTTTCAGAATCGTTGTCTCCCCCGACTGAATCTTCGGACTGGCTGTTCTCATTCTCAGAGGGGAGTTCTTGATCTTGGCTGGACTCGTCATCCGGCTCATCTGTTTCCATTTCACCTAATTTTAGACATCAGAAGTCTTTAAGTAAGCCCAGTGCTGTAGTTTAACCCTCGCTAATACTAAAATCATTTCCCCAGGCCTGCAGGTATATTCTAGTGTCTTACTGCCCATCTTCTTAACGCTTTTCCTGAGGCAGTAATCCAGGGCCACGTTTTACCAGGGGGCAGGGAAGCCTTACTTGGGGAGCCTTCTTCATGGATGCCGTTCGGGCCGTTCCCGTTAATGTTTTGGTCCTTACAGCAGTGTAGGGATCCTTCAGTTTCTTCGGTTTCAGTAGATATTTTGACATATCGACTTAAATAAAACCATAAATCAAACAAGTTCAGATCTCTACAGGTAAAACCTTAAGAAGAGTTCCCATTTCTTCAATCAAACAGAAGTTTTGAATAATGGTTACCCAGCAAACTCAGGCTACGGCTCCATTAGGCACAGCTCACTAATCACTGTGTCTATGAAAGAAAAGTCGTCGGCTTCTAGGGTTTTAGCATGCTTCTCTGATAGGCTGGAAGTTTGTGGAAAAACCGTTCTTTACAACTTTATGCACAGCCTTTGGCACGGAGATGGTGCTGGCTTACACCACGCGCAGACGCATGTGGCCGCGCCTGCTGCGGGGCCCCCAAAACCCCCCATGACCCCCGAGCCCTCTCTCCTTTCACCTCCCATTTCGCTCCGCCTTCAGGCAGGGCGGCTAATGGTTTGATTAAAAATCATTTAATACAAAGACGCTCACTTAGATGACACAAATTACTGCTAAGATCACCTCAGTAATGTGTTTGGCTTGACCCAGAAAACAGACTGGACTAACTTAAGTTTTAAAATCGCCACCTGTGCCAGCAAGGTGGAGACAATGCAGACGGATCCCGTTACAAACTGTTTATCTGATGCTTCTTTGGCTGGCCAGCTTGGATCTTTATTTGTGACACCTTCCCAGAGAATGTAGCACTTACCACATTCTCACCAGGAGGAGATTATACAGCTTATCCTCAGTGTTGTTTCGGGGTACAGCCACGAGAAAAGGCTGACCGAAAAGAGAAGAGCCAGTATGGTGGGTATAACTCGAGTGTCTAAATTTTTCTCGTAGGCAAACAGGAATAATCACATGCTCCGTATCTTCCGTCCTATTGATATTGATTTCAAATCTGTAAGGGCAACACTGACTATAAATTCTGAAAGCTTTAAAGTTATTTCTTTAGAATTTTTTTCTCAAATAATGTTCTGCACAAAGAATTTTATACTTACACATAAATATCATCTCGTTCCATAATACTACTAAGGTTTTCATCCACTGCAAATATTCTGTGAAATCTATGATTGTATATATCAGTAACTATCATCTGAAAGGAAATAAAATTTTATTAACTGGTTTGCCAGCACTGGAGAGCTGAACGACCACGCCTCGAGATGGGCACCCACCTTGTCTGCAGGTACTCCCGACAAAGCAGACAGCGCCGTACACAGATCCAGTATATTTCCGATTTTGGGGACAACTACTTTGTACTGAAAAACAAAAATCAGAATGAACTTATTTCTTTGAAAGAGACATTCAGAGGGTGAAAGGAGCTTCCTGTCACGCACAGAGACCCGAGTGTTGGGCTCAGAGCGTCGCCCCGCTGCCTCCCCATCACCGTGGGCAACAGCGTAAACAGGCACCATCCACCTGCGCCTCACTGTCCTGGCCTCTTCATTCAAAGCCTGCGCTTAATTCAACCTTAGTCGCCTCGTGGCCCTCGTCATACCTGAGACTGCACCACCCCCCTTCCATTTTTCAAAAGCCACCACTGGCCGACAGACTCTTCGCTGTGTGCCACACACCACACCCACCGCCAAGGCACCCACAGCCCACCAGTCGAACGTGCCCCTACGCGCCTTCCCGCTTCGCCACCCCTCCTCCCGCCAGCCGCCACCCTGCGGGTCAGACTTCTAAGGTCTTCTGCTGGCTTGCTGGTTATCGGACCCTTTGTCTCTCTAGCTCCCACAGACAAGTCGTACCATTTCAGATCTGTCTCCCCTCCACCCCCAACTTATTTCACTTGACATAACCCCCTCCAGCTCCACTGCTGTTGTAAATGCAAAGAGTTTGTCTTTTTTACAGCCGCGTACTACTCCGCCCTGTACACACGCCACCTCTTCCTAATCGACCCACGGTCTCGGCACTCAGGTTGTCTCCATGACTTGTCATGAACAGTACTGCAGTGAACGCAGACGCACATACATGCCTTTGAGTTAGTGTTTTGCTTTCTCTGGGGTGGAGCCTCAGGGCTGGGCCAGTCCACATCCCACTAACAGCACAAAGATTCCTTTTCTCCACATTCTCACCACCACTTGCTTCTTGTCTTTTTTAAAATAAGATTTATTTATTTGTGCACACAGAACTGGGGTACAGGCCAGAGGTGCAGGGGCAGTGAGAGGATCCACCAGAGACAGAGCAGGGAGCAGGACAGGCAGAACGACGAAGTTCACTGCTGAGGAACAGGAGGCGGGTCAGGAGGGGTCTACTGCGCGCCAGGGGTCACTCCAGGGCAGAGATCGAACTCACGCTGAAGCGGCAGCAGCAGCGACCTTACCCGTTGTGCCACCAGCGAGGGGCTTCTTGTCCTTTTAATGTGGACCATCCACACAGGTGGAAGATGGTATCACGCTGAGGCTTTGATTTGCATTTGTCTGAGCCTTTTTTTTCTAGGTGCCTGTCCGTCACCTGTATGTTCTCTTTAACTACCTCTAGGTCTTCTGCCCATTTTTTGGATTGAGTTATTTTCTCTTTTTCTTGAGTTGTATGGGTCTCTGTAGATCCTGGACATCAATCCCTTGTGAGGTATATGGTGGAGACATATTTTCTCCCAACTAGCAGGGTGTCTTTTTGCTTTGCTCACTTCCATTATCTTAAAATTTAACAGGATTAACCACAATTTTGTATTTTCTAGAAACCGTTCCCTGATTATTCTTGGCTTGCATTGCGAGCTAGTCCTTCTAACGCTCAATTTTCTCCCCATTTACCAGTCCTCTCCTATTTTGTGTTCAAACTCCATGCAATTCATACTACAACTCTCTGCTTCAAAGTCTTTCATCACTTTGTTACTCAGCTTTATGTTTGTTAAACGTTCTCAGAACCCTCTGGACATGCTGAAGAAAATCTTCCAATGCTTCAGATCAGTTGTTACAAATTTGCAGCTGATCACTCAACACTAGGCAAAATTCTTTCATGTAAGTCCTGTTAGTTTGGCATCTCGGTAACTGTTTAAATACCTGCCATTCCTTAGGCCTCCTGTTTCACCACCACTTTCGCTATCAGTAGAGTGTGTACACCCTTCACGAGGAGACGTGCCAGCGCCGGGCACATGCACTCCTGGCTCCCTGCCCTGTACGGACACAGCATGGGTAGCTCTCTGAGAGCCAGCAGGGTCTGCACGCTGGCTGCACTGGCATTCTGGCCTGAGCCTCCAGCGTGGGAGTGTGAGGAAAGTCTGTTACTGAAGCCACCATGGCAGACCAGGTGGTACTCTGTTGCGGGAGCACTGACCCGGCTCCTCAGTTAGCGCCAACAGAGGAATCGTGCCTGCCTTTTCCCCTTTAAACCAAAGTTTAGATGCAGTAGGTGTTCATTACACATTTGGGTGAATAACATTTTTGACCTGTCTTTTGCATGACCCTACATGTCACGAGGCTTGGAAAACCAGATCTAAAAGCCCCTGTCTCTAAACAACTCATGATCTAGGGGAGAAAAGTAACAAAATGAAGGATCACAATAAAATTTGATAAACAGTTACCGTAGAATTTAAGGCACTAGAAGTTTGGAAGAAGTAGGAGCAAAGTTCATTAGGCGGCATCAAGTGTCAGAAAAGGATTAGTCCTCAGGAAGGAAGAAAATGCAGGGCTTTGTTCCACAAAAATGGGAAACGGTCAGTTGTAACACTCGACAACAGGTGGTATTAAGGAAAGAAGGTGTAAAGAAGGTGGTATTAAGGACTATCAGGAGGCTCTTGACTCTTAGAAGCACTAGATACTACAAATTTCTGAAAGATCTGAGCTATTAAATGATTAGAACTAAGTATTTTTATTTTAATCAAGTTTCCACTAGTCTTCCAAGTTCGTAAGATGTCTACAAGCGACAGGTATTTAAATACACCATTAGAGTAGCATATCATGGATCAAGATGTGTATTAGTAGTTTCATCTACAACAGACATGAGGGAAAAAATGATGATTAACATTAAAGTTCAAGTTGAAAAAGAGGAACTAAGTCTGAAACTAACGTTCATCCCAACATTCTAAAGCCAGACATCTCATTTTTCTTTGATAAGGAGAAGTATCTCAGAATTTTGCTTGGACATGACAAATGATAATGTGAAGATCTGAAAAGTTGTACTAATTTGCAAGTCTCTTAGCTTACAAAATCTCTTCCAAAAATAAATTCATATCACCTAGAGGCATTAAAATCTCCATGTGAAATCTCGTATAAAATGAACAAATGCAAAGAAAATCCACACTCACCTGCATAGGTTTGGCGAGTGGATCCGTCCTGACTAGATAAACCTCCAAGGTGCGCTCCTTCTTCATAGGCAGTGGGAGTGTCAAGTAACAGAAAGGGTCAAAAGTCACCGAAACCTTGGCACACTCAGGACAGACGAGGGTTGATTTGAAAAGGCCGTGAAATATGTCGACTATGATAGAATCGTTTCGTTTCAGATGGTTCTCCCAGGCTTCCTCGGCCACCACCTGGAAGGAGAAGGGGCCGCGTCACAGGGGCCGCGCACCTGCCGGCTGCCGCCGCCGCGCGCCTCGCGGTACCTTGTCAGGCCGCCCCTCGGCATCTTTGAGCTGGATGTACGGCTTTTTCCTGATTCTGTTCAAGTCCTCGTGGAGTCCGTCCAGCAGGAAGGCCAGCAGCTCCTGGCAGTCCTGCTGCTGGTACCCGGAGAACTGCGGCGCAAAACGCCCCACCTGCGTCTGCAAAAGGGCCGCGCTGGTAAAAGCTCCCGGCGGGTCCGACTGTCACCCGGGGCCCACCGCCTCCCGGCTCGGCAGCCGGGCAGCTCGCGGCCCTGTGGGC